GGGCAGCCTCCTGGACCCCCCAGCCCTCCCCCTGCCTGGCTTCTGCTCACTCGGGACTGTACAGGGTGTGAGCGCCCAGCCCAGCCCCTGCGGGGGAGGGGGGTGGGGGGGCACCCTTTGCAGCTAGGACCCTGAGGGGGCAGGGAGCCTGGCCCTCCGGTGGGCGGCCACTATCACTGCCCATCCATCCCCCTGACAGGCCCATTTTCTCCTGGTTTTACAGGACCTTTCCGAGCAGGAAATGCATCTGCTGGCTGATTGATGTCTTCACCTGGCCTTTGTTCCCAGCCGCCTCTCCGCCGCCTCTGCAGGGCTGCACCTCCTGCTCCAGGGTCCAGGCCTCTCGGAGGACATTCCAGGGTCCCCCCTCTGTCCCCTCCAGGCACGGGCCCCAGTGTCCAGGCCCCCCTCTGTCCCCTCCAGGCAGGGACCAGGCTTGCCTCTGCCTCTGGCACAGGAAGGCTAGTCTAGGGGTAATTTCAACTTCCCGCAGAGGGGCCCCTGGCCACAGCCCCCGGCACCTGCACAGGTGAGGAGCGGGTATGGGGAGAGGGTGGCTGAGCGGCACCTGGGGAGGGTGTGGCCCGAGGAGGGGCTGCTGCAATAAGTGTTTCTTTGTGCCTTCCCTGGCTTTTGTTTTGAATTCTTCCCTGAGGTTCCAGCGGAGCCCTCCTAGCACACCTGGGGACAGGTGGGGGCCTTTCTCGCCATCTCTGCAGGAGGGGCAGGTGGGGCCTTAGCCGCGCCTCCTGAAATAACGAAAATGCAGCCGGCCTGCTCACTGTTCTGACGTGGTCTAGAGCGTGTTGAGAAAACTTAGTGGCACGGGAGTTCAGCTCAAGGTCACCTGGTCCCCACCTCTGCCAGGCGCTGTCCCCCACCCTCCCAAGGAGCGTTCTGGGAGCCTGGGACCGTGGTGCCTTCCTCTGTGCCCCCAGGTTCTGCGGGAGGGGGGTGCGGTGGGGGGGAGGGCCTGTTGGGCTGAGGCCGGGAAAGGCCTGGCTTCTTCAAGATGGGAGGGAGAGCCGGAGGGAGAGCCACGAGAGCCTGTGTTTGGGGGTTGGGCCGAGACTGAGGCCTGAGGAGGGTGTGGAGCAGCGGCTGTGCACTTTTTTTGTTTGTTTTTAAAATATATATTTCAGAGAGAAAGGGAGAGGGAGAGAGAGAGAGAAAACTGTCAAGGATGAGAGAGAATCATGGATCAGCTGCCTCCTGTACGTCCCCTACTGGGGATCAAGCCCATAACCCTGGGCATGTGCCCTGATCGGGAATTGAACCGTGACCTCCTGGTTCATAGGTGGGCGCTCAACCCCTGAGCCGCCCAGCTGGGCTGCCGTGCACCCTGAACCCTCTGCCCGCTGTACCAGGCCAGTGGCTGCCCCACTCCTGCCGGCGTGGAGGGAGGCGGAGGGGTCTTCTCCTGGCCACGTCCCCCAGCTGGCGGCATCGGGCATGGGCAGGACCACGGGGCTGTGTGGCAGTCTGGACGGAG